CGGCGCTCGCCCTGGCGCGGGATGGCGGAGCGCTGCGAGCCCGACCCCTGCTCGCTCCAGGGGGGAGCGGACGGTAACCTCTGGGACATGTCGCTGAGCTTCCTGGAGGACGCCCCGACGGGCAACCGGAGCAACGTGTCCTTCCTGCAGCTCCTCAGGAACATCAACCTGGAGCGAGCCGACGGGATGCAGGGGGACAGCTCCGGCGTGGTGCGGATCATCATCTCCCTGGTGTACTCTGTGGTGTGTGCCTTGGGGCTGGTGGGCAACCTGTTGGTGCTCTACCTGATGAAAAGCAAGCAAGGCTGGAGAAAGTCCTCCATCAACCTCTTTGTGACCAGCCTGGCAGTGACTGACTTTCAGTTTGTGCTGACTTTGCCTTTCTGGGCAGTGGAGAATGCACTGGACTTCAACTGGCTCTTCGGCAAGGCCATGTGCAAGATCGTTTCATATGTGACGGCCATGAACATGTACGCCAGCGTCTTCTTCCTCACTGCCATGAGCGTGGCTCGCTACCGCTCTGTGGCTTCAGCCTTGAAGAACCAGCGGCGAGGTGACCCGCTGGGTGGTTGCTGCTCTGCCAAGTGGCTTTGCGCACTCATCTGGGTGTCAGCTATCCTGGCTTCCCTGCCCCATGCCATTTTTTCCACCACTGCCACCGTCTTTGATGACGTGCTCTGCCTCTTGAAGTTCCCTGAGGGCCGCAGCAGCAATGCCCAGTTCTGGCTGGGGCTGTACCACATCCAGAAGGTGCTGCTGGGCTTCGTGGTGCCACTGGCTATCATCAGCCTGTGCTATTTGCTCCTGGTGCGTTTCATCAGAGACAAGCATGTCGGCAGCACCTGCAGCGGCCCCAGCACCAAGCGCCGCTCCAAGGTGACCAAGTCAGTGTCGATTGTGGTGTTGTCTTTCTTCTTGTGCTGGCTGGCCAACCCAGCCCCCAACCAAGCACTCACACTGTGGGGCGTCCTCATCAAACTCAATGTGGTGCACTTCAGCACTGAGTACTTCCTCTCCCAAGTGTACCTCTTCCCCATCAGTGTGTGCCTGGCGCACTCCAACAGCTGCCTCAACCCCATCCTCTACTGCCTCATGCGCCGGGAGTTTCGCAAGGCACTGAAGAGCCTCCTCTGGAGAATCACCTCGCCCTCCCTCACCACCATGCGTCCTTTCACCGACACTACCAAGCCCGAGCAGGAGGAGCAGGCCCTGCACGCCTTGGTGCCTATCCACCCCATCGCTCCTTCCTCACCTGCTGAGGCTGTCCAGCCTGAGCTGGCCTACTACCCGCCCGGGGTGGTAGTGTACAGCGGCCGCTATGACATGCTGCCCATCGGCTCCTCCGAGCAGCGAAAAAAAGGGGGTAGAGGGGGGAAGGAGTCTATGAAGAATGTGGCCCCAGGACATTGACTGCCTTGGAGGGACAAGTGGAGGGAGGGACATGGGTAAGGAGGACTTCGGTAACGGTGGGAGATGCTCTTTGGGGATCGTGTCTGCTCCGAAGGCTTGTTAATGGAAATTGTTCTCTCAAAAGTGTCTAGAGAACAAGAGTAGGAGATGGTGGTGGTGCTCTGGGGATAGGGGTGTCTCTAGGAGATGTTATTGAGCGCTCCTCTTCCCCATCCCAGGGAAGAGGAGCGGGGAGGGCAATAGGACCCAAGCTGCCAGCTCCAGGGAGGATGCAGGATGTGCAGGGCACTGAGGGAGAGAGCGGCTGAGGCTGGGAAGCCTCGGCTGTGTCCCCAACCTGCGCCCCAGCCTGGGGGGTGCAGGCAGTGAGGGGCCAGCAGCCCCCTGAGGTGTGTGTATGTTTTGGGGGGAGGGAGCTGGGTGCTTTTTTGCTGCCGCAGAGTGGCACAGCAAGCAGCGCTAGCCTGGCTGTGGTCACTGCTCCGTGGGCTCCAGCGAGGACAGGGATAGGGCAGCCTGCGTCCCACTGCACAGCTACCCTGATGGGAACAGCTGGGACAAGCAGATCTGAGGCTCCTGCTTGCTCGGGCTTGGTCCCTTTCCCCTCTCTTAGGGTCCTGGGAAAGTGCTGCTGGCCTTTGGCAGAGGAAGAGAGGGGACAAGGAGTGCTCTGCTCCCCGTTCCCCTCCATCTGCTTTTCCAGCTTCCCCCATCCCCTCTGGCAGGATACAGAGCAAACCAGATAGCGAAGGAGAAACCTGAGGACTGGACTTCCAGCTGCACGGAGAGGTGTTGCGTTGCCTTGATTGGGAGGGGACAATATGAGGCCCCCCTGGCATCGTGGTCCCCAGCCTCCTCCCCGGCTGCAGAGGGGAAACCCAGCACCCAAACCGCGTGTGACAAAGCAGATGTCTCTCCTGGGGCGATGAAGCAGCAGGGTTTCTTCTTGCTGTGCTTCAGACTGGTAATTCACTCCAGGTAATCAGCACAATTGTAAATAAAAAAGGGGGATCGGGGGTGGGGGAAGCAGCCACTTCAAATCATTTGCTCCAGGATATTTCTGGGCTCAGCTAAAACTGAGCCATGAAGGTTTGTGTTCTGCAAAAATGCTTGTAAAGGGTCTGCATTGATACTTGCCAGTGTTTCAATTAATGCAAGTTCAAATCCTCTGGTGTGAGTAGCCTTGGAGCTCGCGGGTCACTGCTCTCACGTGCAGGAGAAGGGCAGGGACAGGGGATTGTCCCATTGACTGTTCCAAAGAAAAAATGGGGAAATAATTTGAGGTTGATCTGAAGTGAGCTTTTAAGGGCATGACAAAAAGTATCATTTCAAGCTGTGAAACTTCTTATGGCAAGGTTAGACATTTCTTTTTAAAATGTTTTAACAAATTAAGACACTAACATTAATTATTAAATTATGAACGTTAATTTTAAATGGAAAGGTCAAAATACTTCCTTTAGAAGATGCAGAAATTAAACAGTTCTGGTTTTCCTGCCAAAATGCAAATTCATTAATACCTCAAAACTGTGTATGGGATGCATATATGAACACAACATTTGTAACCCCTCACTATTCCCTCTCCCTGCTCCCATAGCCAAATTTCAACATTTGTCCAGAATGCTGGGAGTCCATTTCAACTCTGCTAAAAAGCATTTCTGCAGAGGGCTGTTTGTCACCTCTAAGTTCAGATACAGAGCAAACTTGCTATTTCTGTCCAGGCAAAATTGCATTGCCATTAGCGGCAATTACGCTTTGCAGACTCCTTTAGGTTTACTGCACATCAGTAATTCCTGTTGTAGAGTTCAGGTTTGGGTTGGAAGCAGCCAGCTCTGCTGCTTGCAATGAGAAGCCGCTGTTTCTTTTTCAAGGCAGCAGAGACTTTTACTACAGCCTTGGACGCTTGCTACCTGGGCAGATGCTGAGATTTTGCAAGGTACCTGGAGAGGAACCACAGAAGTGAGCCGGCAGCTCATGGACATATTTATAGAAATGCAAAGACTCTGAAAATCATTGTGTGAAGATATATCCACAGAACTTGGGGACCTAAGCACTGTACAACTGTCCCTCTGGGTTCCTAAATCCTGACCAGCTGCTGGTTGAGATCTGTAGGTACCTAACAGCTTTTCTTCAGTAAAATTTCTTGTGCTTGGAAGTCTGCTCCTGAGCATGCCTAAATCTGCTTAAGTCTGTAGCATCCGCCTGCGTGTGTTTCCCTGGGACCGCTCTGGCAGGGCTGGTTGCAGGGCATATCCCAAGTGAGGGAGGCAGCCTTGCACCCTGACTCATGGAGCACTCCCCCCTATCAGGCCCTGCTGTTAGGAGGGACTGTAAACTTAGTTTAATTCCTCCCATCCCCTTGCACCTATGTCTAGCCACTTTTCTGCTGTCCTGCCTTCAGCGCGTGTGCAGCCTGCGCTCTCTTCTTTTCCCTTTTCAAATGCTACATTAGTGATCCGAGCTCACGCTCACAACCTGGAAGACTAAACTTTCCTCCTTCCACATCCCTGGGAAATTACTGAACCTCTGGGCTACCATGTGTTTCCAGACTGCAGACTGGCTCGAATCTTTTGGCTTGAAATCGTTTCATGTTGCATGAATTGCTCACCATTGCTGGATCAGAAAGGGAAAGAAAATCACTGGACATTGCTTCACAGCCTAGTGGTTAAGGTGTGAGCCCTAGAGAGGAAGCACCAGGATATGTTTTTCCTTGTACAAGTAAATTGCTATAAAATGTAGAAACATAAATTGGATCCAGGTCTGGATACTAGGTTTCCTGTTTCCAAGGATAATGATTAACCACCTGACTCTATAAGTGGACTACAAAACACCTGACTTGTTCTTGCTCCCAGGCCCTGGTTCAGTTAAAATTTCAATATGCCATGCAATGTGAGATGGCTTTCACAGCCTGAGAGCTTTCCAGCTCCCCACTCTAGCAGCCTGTGTCAAAGGATTTGCAAGGGATGCCTCTGGGTCTTACACATTCTGGGAGAAAGCCTTAATGCTCGTACTAACAGATAAAGGACAGCTGCATGGTGCCATTATGTGAGACCAGGAGATCATGAACACCTAACTCCAGTACCCAGACAGACCTAAATTAAGGAGGGACGAAGGATGTTAAGGCCACATTTGTTTCTTAGTGTTTGCTCTTGATCATCAAAGTTTCTGCTTGGCTTGCTGGACACTTAACTTAAGCATGTGAGGATAGGAATTATCTTGTGCATTTCATAAAAAGTATCTGGGTATCCAAATCATAGCTTGAATCTCACTGGATAGCAAATTGCCTAAAGGCTATTCTCTGCAGTGTTCAGCATAACAAAATCTTTGTCCTTCTGTGGATATCAATCTGCACATAATTTTAAGTGAGCAACACAACACTATAAAACTGGTGATACTCAAAACAATCCATGGTTAGCTCAGAACACCAGCAAGATACCATGACCAAAGGAAACTCCAGATATCTGATCACTAAAGATATAAAAACCTTACATATGGCAAATCACCCTAAGAGGGCAGGGAAATATCCTGTGTGTGTAGAGAGGGGCTAGAATCCAGACTTAGAGGAACACTGTCTCAAGCCACTGATCCACCAGATCTAGGTCATGGATCTGCCCTTTGAAAGAGGCACAACCCATCCACAACTGGTCAAATGCTGGTTTATGCCTGACCTGCAGTTGAGGCTGTGTGGCTGATCTATGTGTGTCCAGCACTGCTCTGGTTGTGTGTGTGCAGGGATCGTGTATGTGTGGAGCTTTTGCTTCATGTGTGCAGCAAGTCCCAGCTCTCGCTGCATGAAACCTGGGCCCGGTATTGCAGAGGCAGTAGGACCAGCCTGTGCGTTCCATGCCTGGGGCCATCTCCCTGCAGGTGCACACCTACCTGGCAGAGGGTCTTCCCAACTCCAGCTTTGAGGTTACCTGTAAAGAACAACAAATCCTAGGGAGTGGCAGGGAGTTTCCTAAGTAATTAATACAACACTCTCCAAAAATACTCCTGTCTCCTCCAAGTGTTCAGGTTTTCATTTGTAACCATCAACTTTTCACAGACTGTAATAAACACTGCTGAAGGATTGAAAACAATATTTAGAGTTCTTAGGGGATTTTCGTGACCTGCCTTGTTCTATTGGGGAATCCTCGGGGGTGCTAGTAGAGAGGTCCAAATTGCGAAGGAAGAGCAGGAACCCAACGGTGCAGACTGACCTCTAGTGACAACCCAGAGGAACCTTTACAGCTGCAATATTCTGATTAGGCACTGGCTTCACTTTGGGTGCCTAAGGCCTTTTAAATAGCTACCTCCAAATAACTAACCAAACTCTTAATGTGATAACAACCTCCAACTACATTTCCAGATTGTCCTTTGAAATACCTCTTCTGTGGAGGAATTATATGACCTTCTCTTTTAATTATTTTGGCACTCGCTTTAGCAGGAAAGAAATCCAGTACCCTTCATTCCCTTTCACTGCTTTCTACTTTGATTATTCAGTTGAGTGCCTATACAGAAAACTCTGATTTAATAGGTAGCCATAAGCTTGAACAGGGATATATATGGGTGCAGTTCAGTTCAAGGATGCTAGATTGGAAGCTTGGCTCTGCAATTTCTAGTAAGAGTTATTTCTCTTGTGCTTCAGAAGAGAATTCTGACTAATCCATTTGGAGGGGGCTATTGAAAATATCTTTTTATTACGATTATTCAGTTACAAGAGTCTCTTCTAGTAACATTTCTCTGCATCAGTCAGTGCAGTAGCTATTGAGACAAGGTCTCCAGGAAAAGGTTGCACAGTCAGTTAACTCATTCCTTTGCCAAAGTGTAGTTGGTAACATGCCTTAAACATGTTCCCTAATTGTAAGGAGTTGTTTTCCTTACAGTAGGCTCTTTCTGATCCATATGAATTTTCATATCTATGCAGGTTTCTCAGCCTATGTTCATGAGTTGCCTCAGAGTCATTTCCAAAAGTTAAACTATAAAACACAGACTCTTACAGGTTGCCAGAGCAAATAGGGCAAAACACCAGCTGGAGATAGAAACCATTTATTTAGTTGTGTAAGTTTTTCTGGAGCCTTGACCTATTTGCGTAGGGAGCGCTAATAGAAAGTTAAGGTGACCCACTGCAGGCTATTCACTGTGGGAAATAACAAAATAAAGGTAGCTCACTCAAATATCCCTTACAAATCCATTTCTAGTGACAATGAGGTACTATTTCTCCATGAGAGCCTGTGTCATTCCTTGCACAGTCCCACTGAATCAATACATTCATTGCACAATGATTGAACAGCACATTAGCTATTCAATACTGACTTCTAGTTTTGTTGTTCAATTAACCTTTCCATGCTCTTGTTTCAAAACCACATCAAATCTCATGCTGGATAAAACTGAAGTCTTGTGGGAGAAGGACTTTTCTCTATATTTGTGAACAAGGATCTGATCAGCTCAGATGAGAAACCTGAAAATCAAATACCTTCAATTTTCCTTTCAGGCTAAATCCTAAAGCTGAGAAGTTGCTAACAATTTATAGTTACCAAGCTAGCCCAGGGTTAACATGATGAGAAAAATCATGTCAGACTAAGCTGATAGCCTTTTACGATGAGATGGCTGGCTTGGTGGATGAGGGGAGAGCAGTGGATGGTGTTTATCTCAACTTTAGTAAGACTTCTGACACTGTCTCCCGTAACATCCTCATTGATCAACTAATAAAGTATGGGCTAGATAAGTGGACAGTGAGGTGGATTAAAAACTGGCTGAACTGCTGGTCTCAGAGGGCTATGATCAGCAGCATGAAGTTCAGCTGGAGGCCACTGACCAGCCATGTGTCCCAGGGGTCAACCCTGGGGCCAGTAGTGTTTAACAGTACTTTGTTAATGACCTGGACAGTGGGACAGAGTGCAGCCTCACCAAGTTTGCAGGTGATGCAAAATTGGGAGGAGTACCTGATACACCAGAGGGTTGTGCTGCCATTCAGAGGGAACTTAATAGGGTGGAGAAACGGGCCAACAGGAATCTCATGACGTTCAACAAAGGGAAATGCAAAGTCCTGCACCCAGGAATAGCCCCATGCATCAATACAGGCTGGGGGCCAACTGGCTGGAAAGTAGCTTTGCAGAAAAGGATCTGCAGGTCCTGGTGGACACTAAGTTGACCATGAGCCAGCAATGTGCCCTTGTGGCCAAGAAGGCCAGTGGTATCCTGGGCTGCATTAGGAAGAATGTTGCCAGCAGGCTGAGCAGGCTTCCCCTCTACTTAGCCCTGGTGAGGTCACATCTGAAGTGCTGGGTCCAGTGCTGATACGGACCTACTAGAACAAGTCCAGCAAAGGACCACAATTATGATTAAGGGACTGGAGCATCTGACAAACAAGGTGAGGCTGAAAGATCTGGGGCTGTTCAGCCTGGAGAGGAGAAGGCTTGGGGGGAACCTCATCAATGTCTATAAATACCTGATGGGAAGGAGTAAAGAAGACAGAGCCAGACTCTTCTCAGTGGTGCCTAGTGACACCACTGATGGGAGGCAATGGGCACCACTTGAAACGCAGGAAATTTCATCTGAACGTATAAAAAACCACTTTTTTACTGTGAGGGTAGCTGAACATTGGAACAGGTTGCCCAGAGAGGTTGCGGAGCCTCTATTCTTGGAGATATTCAAAAGCCATCTGGATAGGGTCCTGGGCAACCTGCTGTAGTCAACCCTGGTCTGAGCTGGGAAGCTGGACTAGACGATCGCCAGAGATCCCTTCCAACCCCAACTATTCTGTGATTCTGTGATTCCATTGACGGCAAATAAAATTCCATGAATATATCTTTATTCCAGTACAAGAGAGATGGCATATGTCTGCATTGTTTGACATTTATTCTGAAAAACCTCCAAAAATTTTAGTTTTTCTCTTCAAATCATCTTCTATTATATTTATGGTCATAAACACTTAAATTTGAAAACTATTTTACTGCTTTTTACCCTTCCTTGTGCCTCATCATAAGGCATTTCCTACTAAACTCCCCTCCTGTATTTACAGGCAAATTCAGTGATGCATATGGGGTAGAGAGCTACCAATGAGTTCTTGAACTGAAGGGGACAGGGATCCCACAGCTCTCAGGACATACTTGCTGTACTGAATAATTGCTGAACCTGTACAGCTGATCATTAATAATGACAAAAAGAAAAATCTAGTTTGAATTTCAGATTTGGGATTATATTTTCAGGGATGTAGAATAAAATCTTGCATTTTGAGCACACTTGATATAAAGTCATTCCAAATCAAATATTACAAAAGGAATTTATAAGCACATGATTCAGAACAGGAACACTGTTTGATAAGGTGCTGTCTCTCTCAGAGATAAATATAGATTTAATAACTCTTTTGTTGTAAAGTTTTGCAATGCTATGTCAGTCTAGTAGTATTTGGGAAATAATTCTTAAAGGTCTAGCTATTGGGATTAAGTGTTACAATCTCAGCATTTATTTAAAAAATCTTGCATATTTTTTAATGCAAAATTAAAAGAAAACATATTGCAAGGTAGTACTTCTTATATTAAAAGGTTTCAGATCAGAACATTGAAACGGAAAGCAAACCATCTGGGATATGTTTGCACTTGCATGGCACTCTGCCTATCACGGACTTCAGGCTAGCGCTCTCAGCCTTTAAAAAAAGGCATCACTGCCATCAGCTTCTCCTTTCTCTCATGTCACTACGTAGACCCCAAGCTCTTGTTATTTTCCCCTTTTCCTCTCAGCACTAATGGACAGAGGGACCTGAAAACAGAGGTGCTCAAGAAGTTGATGCCACCTCCTCTCCTCACTACCACTGGTCCTGCCTCCCGATGCACCTTACCTGTTGGGAGCCAAAGCAACAAAAATTCCTGCGCAGAACAAATGAGGGGCAGCTGCACCACAGGTTTGTATCTCCACTTTAGCTGCGATCCACTTTGCGTGGCTGCCACTAGTGCCAAAGGCTTTGGAGGCCAGATGCCAGCAGGGTCTTCGGTGGACTCCAACGGCCGCATTACAGACAGCAACATCTCCATCGGCATCGTGTAGCTGCGTTAGAGGTAACTGCAAGCAAACCTGGACTTGTTGTTTAGATACAGACCATGAGAGGAACTGAACTGCAACACAGCATCATTATAAGGAAACGTCAAAGTAAGGTGAGAGAGGGACAGTACTCACGTTAGAAAGTCATCAAAAAGGCAGCTACGAGGCTCTGGATAAGTGTTATAATGTCATTGAACACTGGGGGGCAAACAAGCACCTGGCCTTTAGGGAAGAAATTACTTGATCCTTGCTAACAGAGAGACCTCATTCCCTCTCTCCCTTCAACTACAGTCTTAGTCTTAGATAACTATCCCTTCAAAAAGCTGCCCTTTTTTTTTTTTTTTTTATAAAAGGCAACATATATCTGTTTAAAAGTGACAGGCAGAATCTGCTTTTCTCAGGCAATCAAGAGTAGAGAGCACTGAACTTTTATTTTCCTTCTTCCGTAAGTCGTTACACAGAGCACACACAAGGCAATACTCTAGTTTGATGTCTCTGCAGGATGTGAAAGCATTATCATTAATACACAGGTAAAATATTAATATACAGGGAGGTAATAAATTAATTTTCAAAAGAGAACATTACAGAAATACAATATACCCTGCATAACTAAACAAGCAACGTATGAAATTGAGCACACTGTGGAAGGTACCAGAATTAAGAAGAGTTTTTGACAGTTTAGTCTTGACAAGTGGCCCCAAGTGTTCGCTGCTTAAATGAACAAAGCAGCAGCAGCTAGGAAATGAGAAATGAATGCTGGAAACTTAGAGGGAGATTGTTTATTTTGTAGATATATTCTTTTATGACCTTATGATGACAAACATTATTTGAAGAAATTTTACTGCAAATACTTCCAACTCTCTTCCTCCATGGAGCAAGCCATCTACAGTTCAGAAATATCAAATGCTGTCATTGGCACATCTCTTAGTTACACCGCTTTCTCCCTATCTTTTGACATGTTGCAGGGAATCGTAATGATTTGCAGGCACTAATGCTATAACTGAGAGTTCTGCCAAGGCAAGAGACATTTATGATTCATCTTGACTAATGTAGCTTTATCCTGAAGAAAGTGTCTCCCACAAACCATTTGAGTTGCTTGTTTTCAAGGAAGTTAAAGAAACCTAATGAGATCACTGAGAGAGATGGAATGAAAATTGGAAAAAAAAAACCAACCGTGACATTACTAATACGGCAAGTACTTTAAACAAGAGAACAAAAACTTCCTTGAATCTTTTACTTAAATGACAGGCCAGTTTGTTAGAGGGGAAGAAATTGATATGCGTTCCTAAGAAAAAAGAAAGTGTCAGGAAGGCAAGACAGCTGACTTGTTTCTTGCTTTGTTTCCTCCAGCTATTACTAGCTCTGTTAAAATGGGCGGGAGGGGGCCCTGATAATACCAAAATGTCTCCTCTTTTTCAGCTAAATGTATCCATTTGCCTAAATGCACCACCGATCTTCTATATATATGAAAGCAAAACTAGATGAGGAAGATCAGTGTCCTTCTAACTTTGACACTCACATCATCTTAATAAAAGCTCACAATAAGTGCAATAACTGATCATACTGATAATTTGATCCAAAGTCTAAACCCATTAACTTAGTACAGAAAAGAAAGAACTTTTTAAATTAGTAGAACTGCAGTGTAGTTCTTCAATGCTTATAACACATCTCTAGTGCTGTTTACTGTGAAATATTTACTTTCTCTTTTCTCAGGAATTAGTAACATTTTAAATAGCTTTCAGTGGCATACGAAATATATTTTTGGCTTCAGAATGAGCACCATCATAATTCTTGTTTTAAACTCTTTTTTTTAAAATTGTGCTTACTTTTCTGGCTGTTTGCTATTTTTGAGAACGACCCATTAAGCTGGGCCTCATTTTGAAGTCTTAGAAACAAATATAGATAGCTTTTATAGGGAGATTTCCAAAGAAAAATGTAATCCATTCTGATCCTTATTCTATAGTGTGCAATTAATTTTAAAAGGAAGGATCATGAGAAAGATGACAAACTGATCCCTTGAAACAGCCTCCTCTGAACAGATTTCTAAATAGAACCATTGATATTTGATGCTTGCATCTCCCTTTTCTTTGCAGGTTCACACTTCTTGTCATGTTGCTACAGATCTACAGTGAGTCCACAGGTCTGGATCAATGCCAGCTTTCTCTGTGTGTAACAGAAGAGAGAGAATGCAGACCATCCAAATTGTCATGCTTTGATGGCATTAAACCTTAAAGAAAGTATTGACAAAGAGATAGGTAAACATTTCAAGGTTCCATTCCACAGCCTCACATTGGCATCAGAGTTTTACCCTTAGTTATCCTACAGTCCCCTTAAAAATTCCTCCTCCTGCAAGATATTTCTGAGCTACAGTAAGTTAGTGAGTTAATGATGGCAATATTTGAATCAAGATGATCGTCCTGCATTTTTTGGCCTTCTCCTATGCGTCCCAGTTGAGGCCCTTGTGCTCCAGGCCATCCCAGCATCTACAAAGTGGTTTGAGCACAGTCCAGGGTCTCACTCTTGCAAGCTTTTCACTTCTAGAGGTATGACAGGAGAGGAATTAACAAAAAGCCACAAAATGAAAGAAGCCATACAACATGCCTCTTTCACAGGGAAGGAGGAAGGAGCTGTGGAGAAAGGTAAGGTCTGCCGTGCACTGAGCCCTGTTTTGGGCATACAGAGAGACACAATCATCAACACGGAAACGTAGCTGAGGCTTCCATGGGCTTGTTATAACGAATAAGAGTTTACTCTAAGGGAGATATGTTTTTCCCTGCGAATAAATGACTCACCATACTCTTCAAAAACAAAAGAGGATGAAGTTGGTGCACCTGTGCAGAGACATCCTCATGCTCAAATTAACCATTTATATGTATAGTCGTATGTTCACACAGGGCTACTCTAGTGTCTGATCAACTCGACAGTGAGGAGGACTAAACGGCCTTGATTATACATGTGCAACATTTAGGGAAACATATCTGGCAACAATCTTTCTCTGTGTCACTGTTCATTAATAATACTGTATTAGCAGATGACTGCATGTGGCTTAGCACATAACACAGTAAATGGATTTGAAAATCTCCAGGAGGGAGGATGCACAGCATAAATATAGCATTTCACTTTCACAAACACAGGACCTTTGAAACTCTGGCAATATTATAAAAATAAGAATGAAGCTCCATACTCACTTAAATAAAAATAATTTGACTTCAGGATTTACTGTACTGGTTAGAGGTACATCTGTACAACAATTCATGATAGTGCTTTGCAGAGTGGAATTAATCTACAATATTCTGCAGAGACCAAAAAACATTTTACATAAAGCTAGAGACATGCAGGAATATAGAGAAAATAGAGATACTACATTAATTAAGGTAAATACTGTAATATCCAATATGAAAATTTGAGTGGCTTACAACCATTCACAAAATTCTTCTTCTGGTCTAGATTATACTTTTAATTGAGGTATTGAGGTCGAGTGGCTAGACTTTTTAAGAATGAAGAAACTGCAGCTGTGGACTTCCTGTGGACTGATTGTTTAGGTACCTAAACATGGATTTGCAGAGTATCTTTAGGCAGACTTTTATGACAAGCTCAGCTGGCATTTTCATTTCATTTCTATGTAAGCAGCAGAATATAGTATAAAAGAACTACTTTACTGTAAAGGGTTATGCTTTTAAGCAGTAGCCTTCAAACCTTTTTAAATTCCAATCACCTTTCATACCCAAATCTGCTTCTGATGGTAGCTGGAAGGTAACTGATCCCATTTAACAATACTGCTAATCATAACATCACAGCACTATGGCCTCTGACATTTGAACCTCTTCTCGCAGCTTTTGTCTACCAAAAAGAATAGCCCCATCTTAAAAGATATTTTGAAAATAAGATAAGCAACAGCTTTCATCTTAACTCTGTCCACTTTTATTACTTCTTCAATTTACCACATACTTCATTTATTAACTTCAGGATACCATGGGCATACAAGCCTTAATGTGTAATAGTGCGTTAATACACTGGGCTCAGTATGAAGGAATAAAGCAGTCAAAATAAAGAAGCTTTCAATTTGAGGCATTAGGCTGCCAGCTTTGCTAGGAGTCTCCACTTTGTGGATAAGAAATGCTCTGGAATTGCAACCATTCCAAGGAAGTAAAAGAAGAGGACATGCCAGCAATCTCAGTGTGGTAACAGCACCAGTGCTACTGACCCAGAAAGAAAATGCTCCCCTGTGATGATGTTCTACCCCACATATCGAACACAAAAAGCAACAAAGCAACAGCCAATCAGTGCCACAGTAGATGCTGAAATCACAGTGACCGCACTGCCAGCAACACTAACCAAGAGCCCAAGGCCCACGCCAAGAATGATCTGGGCCAGCTGGACCATGCAGGTGAGAGCAGCACAGTCAATACCCTTTCCTCGCCCGAGCTCTCTGGCTTGGTCTCCATCCTGCAGCTTCAGGTTCTGCAAATAAACACAAAACACAACCCAGTGAAATAAGAACGCTGCTAACTGGCAGCTCTCAGCCAGTGCTTGCAGGCAGCACTCCTGTCACGACCCCCAGATGCAGCAAACAGGTCAATAGGTCCCTGTTTCCCATCTTGGTTTTTCTGCCAGTCCCTCAGAGGTTATATTCAGAGCCTTTACAAGTGATAATGAGCTTTCCAAGTTCCCCTCAAATTGTCCCATTTCTCTCACCAACCATGTTTCCCTCTGTCCTTTCTCTCAGGGGAAGGAAAGAAACTTGGTGAGAAAAATGTGGCTTTTTCTTGAAGTTCAGGTCTATTTGTGCTCTGACACAGGGAGCGAGTTTCACAGTACAGAATACCATGTTAAGAATACTTTAGCTCCAACTCTCACATGCTTAAAGGAGAGCCCCAAGGGATGTTAGGATAAGAAGAGCCCATACACGCACATCCCACACACAAACAGATCTGAATTGCTTGTCATGGAGCGCTGCGCTCTGAAGTCATGCTTCAAAGCTCAAAAAAACAGTTCATTACTAACATCTTAACATAATGCTGAAAAAAATATTTGAAAGCAAAGCCCTGAGCAGGAGTCTACATTACAGAAATCCATGATCAACTAGCGACTAGATCAACAACTATTCAAGTGATATACGTAGCAGAGCAACAGGCTTTATTTATAGTATATGAGCATCTCCTCCAGGAAAGAATTATTCTGGTTTAGTTTCGAAATTATTTGATAGTTTACATATTTATAGCTCTTCTTGCACAGGTTGTTGAATGTGTTGCAAGAGACAGAACTTCCGTGCTGTGTGGTAGGTGAGCTGCTGTCTCCTGGTATCCAAATGCTCCTGATCATTAGGATGCTTTTTGCTTTTCCCAAGACCTCATTACATTGCATTTGAGTTGTTATGCACAAAGTTCAAAAGTACTACAGAAAAACAGTCTCTTCCAAATCCAGTACACAAAACTGAATTTGGATCCTAGGGAACAGCAGCACACAAAGGAACTGAGAGGCCAGTATTTTAAAACCCAGCACATGATTTTGGTAGAATGTATACTGGTGGAAAATACTCTTTGTCTACTCTTTGTTTGGGAATAATATGGTCTAACAACGTCGTTTCATCTGAGGTATTTCAAACTTTAAATGCACTTTTTTTTTTTAATTATAACTATTTTGCTGGGCTCTGCCCAGTGTCCCCATGTGCCTGTAGTTCTAAGCGCAATCGTATGAATGTGCAAATGAATGCAATCTTGCACCTGGTGTTTCCCCTTTATTTTTTCTATCTTGGATATTATAGAAGGTTTGGGATAAACCTAATTTTGTTAATATCAGATCTAACACAGAACTATATATCATTTAACATCTGGCATAGTACCATACCTCAAATCTTACTTGGAAGAGAGCTAATTGTTTCTTCTTTGAAGATATTAGCCTATTAAAGTCCATGTACACTTCACTTCAGCATATTTTATTTCACTGCTGTCTTGGAACAGGTCTGAATCAGAGCTAGACTACGATTTGGCCTTTACTTCCTCTCTCTAAGATGACTGACCCAAGGTTCAGACTGATCTCACCCTAAACTGGGCTCAGTCCCTGTGCTTTGTTAAATCTTTTTAAAATCCTTCATCATGATTGTTCTCTGTTGGAAGGAACAGAGAAATAACTGAAGAATTAGGAATCAATTCTATGAAATATTTTATTACCTTGAAACATCCTAAAACTCAGGAGAATAATTAAAGAGCTTTCTCCTTCACCATTCCAATGACGATGCTTAGAAGTTGTACAGAACAGCAGGATGTATTCTCAAGGATTTAATCTAGCCCTGTGCTAGGCTCAGCTATATATTTTTTTAATGTTTTGACTGTTCAGCATTTCCTTTATTAATTTCTTCCAATATCACTGGATATAATGATAACTTTTCCTAAATCTTCAAATTCTCCTTCTTTCCAGCTCTCTCACAAACTAAGAGACTTGAGACAACTTTTCCAGTGAAGAACTCAACACTTTACATGACATGAAGATCCTGTTGTGCTTAGTAACATGACATAAGGAACGCAGGTTCTTCCAGATTTTCGTTGGAAGCAGGATTTCATGCTGAGGAGGACCAAAAACCAACTCCAGACGTTAGAGAGATAACGAGAACATGGAACGGCTTCAACAAAGGGAACAAACATGTCTGAAAAGGGGTAAATACTTATTTTGAGGCATGAGGCTACAGGAAAGAAACCTCCCTCAGCTTGGGTAGGAGAAAAGGCCTTGATGGTCCCCTCATGCCCTAGGCTGGGGCAGTCCTTATACCTTCCTCTACAGTATGTCACTAGAGGCAGAGGAACAAACCACAGAACTGAGACAACCAAATACTCTGTTCCAACCAGGTACATTTTCTTAAAATATGGCCGTTCTAGTATAAGAAAGTACTATATTCTTGTAGGCATCTGATTTGATACTAAACTACATAAAATTGTTTGTACTTGAATTGTGTTCTTTTATTAGCAAACAGTTTTTGTAACACTTCGCAGTCAACTAAAATTTCCGTCATCCTTTACAGTGTGGTTATTAACTCCAGGGACTCAGAAGTCAAGCCCTCAGCTGATATGAACAGGTTAAGCCTCCCTGAAGTAACCCGAGTTTAGTGGCGTAATTCAATCTGAGCCCCAGCCCTCCCCTTTATTTTTAAAAGTAAATACATGCATGCACATGACTGTGTACAAAACAGTGGTGTGGTGGTTTTGATACCCAGGATGGCAGCACTTACAGCCCGAACTGGAGCCCTGTTGCCTGTGTACTGCCTGAACACATACTGGGATCAGCTGTTTCAGCTGTGATGATAAATAATTGTTTGTTTCAACACATGACTGAATTTGGAGAATTTGAAATGGGACCTTAGCAAAAAAAAGTAGTATATAGCTACAACACAGCTTATAATGTTAGTATGGTTAATTAAAGCCCTGAAACTCTCTCTGTCAGAAACTTTCTGTTCATAGCATCTGTGTCACCATAAGTAGTTTGAAATTAATACTAAAAATCTCTCCTCCAGTTCTGTCCAATTTTTCTCCCCAAACAGAGTTAAACAGACCTTTCCAGATATAAATTTACCCTTTCTTAGGCCTTGAACTCACCTCTTCTTCCCTGTGATACTCTGCAATGAGGTGGAATGGCACTGTGTACAGTGTGCTGGACATGACACCGAAGAGGGAGCATAGAGCCAGAGTGGAGTAGACATTGGGAAACAAGCCAATTAATCCAGTACCTAATCCAAAAAGCAGGTATCCAATGAAATAAAGTCCCTTTAGTCCTATGTATGGCAGAAGGGCTTTCTGCAGGTCTGAAAAAAAAAAAAAAAAAGGGAAAATGGTGATGAGACTTATAAGAGGTTTCCTTTTACAAGATACAATGAAGGGAAAAATCTTATTGATTTTGGCATGCGCTTCAAATTATTGTGGGTATGAACTTGCCGCAGAATACTTCTTCCTGACATTCCTCTCCCTGGGAATACTCTTATTCTAGCTTAAGCAAGTCCAGAGAAGAATTAGTTAAGAGGTATACTGTAAGAACTGCCCTTGCTAGCAACCCTGACAATTCACTGCTTGATTATAACACAAGCGTTTGACAATAACCTCTCACTGAGCTGAGAGGGGTGCTGCACAAATGCCTGTATTTAAGATCCAAAGGGGAAAAGATTTCCATCAGGCCTCTTTTAGATGCTGAATTCATCCCCCAAAATGCTACTAATTTGATTTTTTGGATAACAAGTAATTTTGGGTAAGAACTATGGTAAGAACTATGGTAAGATCTATCTGAGGAACTGGGCTAACCTTTTTACATGCGATTCTGCAGAGCAAGGTTCATGTTTTTGGCCAGAACTTCTACTGCATTGTGAAAGTTATTTTGTGAGGAAAGCAGACAGGAAGAAGCATTAGAGGGACCTTCTGAGAACCTACAGCTATGTGACTGCTACGTAAAGAGCAACTTAGAATGATGCTCATGGCATCCATTTTACTCCAGCATTTAACTTTAGGACAATTTTCAATGCTCAGGGTCAGTCCACATGTAGAGCAATGCCTTACTCCCAAAGTGATCCCACATCTTGAGGTCTGGTCAGAAATTGCTCACATGAAGAGACAGGTTTCTAACAACACTGAGAATGCAACATTTCAAAGTTTTAATGTGAAAAAACAGTTAATTGGGGATCACTCGGTTTCTTTGAAACAATTGCAAACACATTAAACACTGTTTCAAAGTACAGTGTTGGAGTAAATTGCTGGGTACTTACAAGAATAGAGTGATGAAGAAATTGCATTAATGCACAGTCCCCAACATCCAACTTCTACTCCTCTTTCATAGGCAAGGTAAAGCGTGGAGTTACGAGGCGCATAAGGACTTCCCTGGTATACAATCTGAAAGAGACCACAGAGATCACAGAAGGTAAAAATGTGCTGCATGTATATAATACCTCCTTATTAGGGGTACATGGGACCCCAACACAGGGTCTCATCCTCAGGCCATTCTTCTCACTCTACTCCTACTTTCTTGTCCTAGCCCCTCTCTCTCTCTCTCCTTTTTTTTTTTTTTTAATCTGCAATTGCTTTCTTTTTTTTCTGTTTTCTCTTTCAAGCTTACCCACACACACTCATTTTTCCACCCAGTCTCTCTGAGAGTCATTTTCTTATGCAGTTCCTTACCCAGGCAAGCAATTTTTTTTCTTTAAAACATATACTGCAGAAAATAAAAACTCCCTCTCACCTAGAGAGAAAAAAAAAAAGGCAAGGAAATATGGGATACTAGGTGGAAAGCACAGAAAAAAGGAACTGGCAGTGACAGGATTGGTGCTAGGACTCTGGAAGGAAGGAAGCAAAGGGGATCAAGTAAGGGAGCATCAGTGGGAAAAGGCATACAGTTTCACTGCCTGGGAACAGCCAGGAAGAGAGGACTTGAGTATTGTGAAGGCAAATCACTGGCAGAAGGGACTCATCCAGGGAAGGGTTTAAAGAGATATGGCAGGGAGAGTCAAAATAATCAAGGGAACAAGAGCCTTGGGCTACAGAGCCAAGTAGCCCACTGAGTGTAAAATGCTGCAGAGGCTCAGGCCAGTGAGGCTATCGTGCTTCTACCTTTGGATGAATGGCCTTGCATGGGCTGGGGGACAAAGAGGGCAGGGCGTAGCTCCAAAATGGGGGGGGGGGAGGGTGGAGATAAAGCAACATCTGTGCTTCCAGTCAGGAAACCTGTCCATTTCTGAAGCCAGAGCAGAGAACAGATGTTTTTGGAACCACTCTGAGAGCTTCAATCTGAACAGTGAAATAGGTACAAATACCCTTACAAAAGCAGGAAGGTTTTCACCTGATACCCAAAAGAGTCCAGTTTAGAATGGGGGCTGGAGAGCAATCAGCTCCTGTACAAAACTCTTGCTTGGGCACTCCAGATATTACTGGCTCTACCACCACTGTCGTTTCTTCAAGTTTATAACACATTCCAATTTTTTTCCTGTGGAAAATGAAATGCTATGAGGAAAGAAAAGCAAAAGGCATTTATTCTTTTACCTGTCCCATAAAATCTGTGAAGAAGAGCATGTTGGACAGGAAAGCCATCCATCCAAAGAGGTGGCTCACGCACAGATTGCGATAGTGGGATGGCATGCTTAAAAGTGTCTTCAGGAGTGATTTAAGGGTCACCCGCCGCTGAGTCTGAAAACGAGTATTTTACAATTGTTAACAACAAACTATTTAACAATACTACTGTACTACTGCCCGGACGGCTAATAAAGTAGCTGACAGCAAATGGAGAAGGCCTCATCATCTTTTAAATACCAAACTTCCTAAGTTTTCTATTTGTTTTTGCTAGAAAGGGTTGCTTGGTACTGAATGTCCTTCCATATATTTTCTATTTGTCAGAGCAATGCCTAATAAAGTCATCTGAAAGACTCACAGAGATTTTAGGAAAGCTGCGGTACATCACTAAGGATAAAAATACTTCCTGCTGTTACAAGCAATCAGTAGGATTCTTATTTACTTGTAGAATCAACTGAAAATTTTCTGCCAAAACAGATTCTCAGTAGAAAACTGGAGCGTCAAAAAAAAAAAAAAAAAAAAAAAAGAATTTCTTCATGAAGACAATCAGCTTTCCATTGAAAATTTGAAGTTACCATAGAAAAAAATTTCCTGAGAATTAAGAATACTGCAGTTCTGAGACCTGGCTCCCATTCCTTTTTATGTGTTAAGCTCCCTAGAAAGCATCACCTTTTCAGGTGCATCATTACCATGAGATCCACTACGTACCATCTACCCTGCCCCGTCAAGCACGGAGAGACTGATAGATCACAGGAGATGCAGCACCACCCAAAATCCTAGTGTCCAGAGAATGTGAGCCCCAGCACCTGAACACCTCGTCCCATGGGAGAAAGGGCTCGGCTCAAAATCAAATATTAGAGGTACTGGTTAATACAATTTCACTGATGGAAAAATTAAATTTCTTACTATCTTCAATACCCCACCTTATCTCCCTCCTCCTCAGCCTCAGCCCTGGACCCAAAGACTCTCTCCCAGTTTCTTTTCTAGTTACATTTATCATATCAGTTGTATGTTCAGTATGATGAGCTTGCATTTTTTAATATGGTAGGTGTGTTCACTGTCACACATTGGTGACATACAAGTCTTACCACTTTAAAGCTCCTGCATTTTAAAGCACCTCCTTTGCTTTTAAAGAAAGATTTTGTTGTTTTATCATTGAGTGATGGAACATTTCCAATTTTCTCTAGTAATGTTTGGTAGCAACAGTGTTAGGAGAGATGGTAAGGGGAGTTATACGGTCATTAGATACGGAAGAACCATAAAAGTTATGTTCATTACTGGAAAGCAGAATTTTACCTTAAATTTGCTGTAAGCTGATGATATTGTTTCCTGTCTTCGATGTTCTAGTTACTTTTCACAGTTCTGCTGTCCTTTGAACTAGGTTATGCTGCTAGCTGCTCTACGAATAACAACCATGTAAAAGGTTGGAAAAGACTTTGCTCCAGTAAGAGGTTTTTAATCCTTATAGGAATGCCAAAATGCAAGTTGCTGACTTTTACCTTGAGCTGCATATTGTCCAAATCCATCGGAATTTGTCTTGGCATCACTGTCACTTTTAACGGCATTTAAATAAGGCAAGCTTTCTATTATACTACAGTAACACAAAAAACCCCAACCAAAACACATTAACTCATCAGTCAAACCTAATTAACTCATTATTTCAAGGATAATTACTATTATTTGATCTAGCATATATAATTTGTTCAACTCTCCCACATTGTTCTTTAAAACAGCCTTTCCAATCAAGGTATTAACAAAGGGTCAGAGAGGGAACTAGAGAGAACACTACCGTAATTACAAATGATCAGTTGAGAACCAGCCAGAAATGGTTGTTTTCTATTCAGATATTTTAAAAAGTGGAAATGGAAACACAAATGTTTAATGCATATATTCAATACATACCAACACACAAATCCCACACTAATATTTCTAAACAAACAGCTGAAGGCTCTTAAATCGAGCTCAGGCCTCTGTTTCAGTGACTTACCCTCAATAGCCCAGAATACCCAGCCATTTTCTCTATAATCACTGTAACTCAAGGCCTAAGGAAGATTCATAGGGATACATGGGAATCAATATGACTTATGTTTTATGGCAGCAGGACCTGAGTAATTTGGCACTAAATTAAAGAAAAAAAGTTAGAATCACTTTGGATGCCTATTCCTACTGTAACAAGTCAAATCTCATTAAATAACTATGGGGACTATTAGCATGCAGGAGTATAGTCCTTAATTCAAAAGAAACAGGACCCTGAAGCCTGCAGCAAAAAAGAGAAAAAGAAAAGCAGAAAGCCAAATCATTTTTTCAAGGAAGCAATTATAGCAATGAATAAACTCAGAAAACATGCGCTACATGAGACAGACCATTTCTGCACTGAGAGAGTGTCTAGAATTTATCCAAGCCCAGGCACATCAAAGAAACATTAGATGAATCAAGGCACTCAGCCTCTGAAAGACTGTCTAGCTAACTACTTAGAAAGGAGGGCAATGGGACAAGCTGGAACCGAGCGGACAGCAGAGCTTTACACGGGGTGTCAGATGTTCCTGATTCAGTGGGAATAGCTCTTGCAAAGTAACAGATTACTCCGTTCCATAGTCTGCTTCCCTTGTTTTCACTGGATCTGCTTTCTCTTCCTAGTTTACCTTCCTTTCCTTTAGAGTCTCTGTTGGCCAAACAGTGCCACGGCATTCAGCACCTCTGGCAATCAGGAAGATGCTCAGAGTGAACAGTGCTGGCAAGGGCTGCTATCTGTTGTGGCTGGCCTAAGATGAGGACACGGGGGAAGCGCTGCAGCGTGCTAGAGATATTCTGCTGACAAACTGTTGCTTTGCTGCCTGCCTCACATTGAATTTGCCTGCCTTTCTCATTAGGCGGTGTTCATCTTTTATTCCACCTGTGTGTACTACCTGGTGTAATAATATCATCGTTTTGGTCAGGAATACTAAGTGCTAGTAGAATGGAAATGATAAAGAGTAAAAGATAACAACTCTCTTTTATTTGTAGCTTAAACATGAGTTTAGGTTCCTAATTTTTGACCATCTGCACATCTCAATATTTTTCTAGCTGATTTCCCAAGACTTATTTCAGGGATACACATACATAATGCTAAGAGATCAAAAGTAAATTTAAAACAAGAGGCAACTGTTTTCTTATTTATTGTTATACTAGGAACCAAACGTATATTACAAGCCTTTGCTTACCTAGGACACCATGAAAGCGCAGCCAGGATTCCTAGCACTGCAAATCATCAACAAAACAGTAAACACCACTATCTGTTGCTAATGCTATTCTAGAAATGTGATCTCCAGGTATTTTTCAGGCAGATTCTCCTTTTCCTGGTTGCGTTGGACTGAAACAACACCTCACGAAAATATAGCAATGAATAAATGCCAGTGATGACTTGCAAGCGCTCACTACTCCCTCCCACTTGAAAGTTCTCCCAAAGACACAGCTACAACAACAGTTTAAAAGAAAACCAAAGCCCTGGAAGTGAGGTAGTGTTGTTGTAAAACTGAATAGCAGTTTTAACTGAATTAGCATTGCCAACAGGTACTTGCTGAAACGTTGAGTAGCAGTGTAACTGGAACATTTAACAGAGCAGAGAACATTTCATATATACTACATACGCTACGCTACACTACACAACACTACAGGTGTTGTTGACTTCAGCGAAAGCTACAAATTTATATCAAAGATTAATGGTATCTAGTTCTTGTCCACAGTATGTTGTGGATTCTATAGAGATTAAAGGACACATTATATCCTCTTGAGGAAATACACATGAGAAGAACATGAGGAGATTGATACAGAGCAGAAACTCCAATTTGGTTCTCCCTCATGCCTGCAAAATGTTCAAAGCCTAGTCTGTCTCTGTCCCTTCTTTGAAAGGGCTGTATAAATAATGAAATAGAGAGTAGGCCAAAGAGAGGCTGGCTCTGTATCTTGGTGGAGGACTTTTTCTCAGAAAGGGCTCCACTTCAAATAGTCAGCATTAGGTAATTAAAAAAGGGTAACTGATGGTCTCCAAGGATGAAATGATATGGGTTACAAAATCATCTCTGCACTTACCTCTGTATGTGATGGGCCAGAGGATTTCGCTGGTTGAGGTGCAGTCTTTATTTCAGTATATGGTGAATTTAAGTAACCGTTCTTGATTTTCTCTATGGAGTTATACTGACAGGGTTCATCCACTTCCAACAAGAACTTGGTCTCTTCAGTGTCATATCTGAGAGGGACTTCAGGGATACTGCACAAGTGTACAGTAAGGCAGATTAGGAAAACTAAGGCTGAGAAGAAGAACATCACCTGGAATTCCGATAACAACTGATGTCCCAGTACGGTCTCACTCCAGTCCATAGCACCTGTCAGGTAACCCAGGGCTCCTCCCAAACCTACAGAGGCAGGGGGAAAAAAAAGAAAAAAAAAAGAAAAAAAAGAAAAAAAATTTACTGGCATTTATAAAATAAATGAACAATACACAATATGCTCAACACGTGATCTCCTCTAGAAATGACTGAATCATCACCCTTCAGATATCAGTATATGTGGGAAGAATCAAAAGAAATTAGAACACTGCACTAATCATACATGTGAACAGTTACCAAACACATCTTGAAAAACCACCCCAGCTCTGGCAGACAAAGCTTTCCATGAAATGGCTGAATATACAGCAACATGGGTCTCCATCCCTTTTCTAGCAAACATTCTCTGAGCCTGATTCAGAAACATTTCTCTGAGGTTTTCTTCTCTCTGAAGCAATGCCTAACACAAAACAAAACTTCATAGCAATTTTTTTTTAGTGCACCATGAATATAAAATACTCCACAGAACAGAATAAATAGAATTTTTGTATTGTATTAAGGCTATCTGTACTTTAGACCTTGTAAAACATATTTTATACAGCTGAATACAAACAGAAATACTGCCTCCATGTGAAATTTCCAAAAAGGAAATAAAATCAAAAGCATTTCTTTGTTTCATCACAATCCAAGTACCTCATCTCTAGAAAAAGAAAAAAAGAGCACATAGAAATGTGAATTTCCTTTTACTGATTTTCATCCTCTTGGGAAACAAATAAAAAACAAAATCAGAGTAAAAGTAAAATGAGAACACTATCTTGCCTCTTGAAGTTAATAAATCAGAATTCAACTTTTTAATACAATTTTTTTTTGTTATTGGTGCACACACTGTTTCAGTAGCCCAGGAAAATGTGATTATGTACAGTATAGAGCTTTGGTACTGGAGGCAGCTTTGTACAGTCCTGACACCTTGTTAATCAGGTGGTTCTGCTGGATGTGGAAGTCAACTAACATAGAAGAGTTTGAAGGAACTGCAATTATTTCTACTCTTCTGCCTAGGAGAACCGAGACAACGTATGGTAGAACCAGTCTGTCTAACAAAAAAGAAATGGAGGTAACAGGACCTTTGCCTGACCTAATAACCATGTGACTGTACTTTCATTCTGGCATTTCTGTATTTCTTTCCCTTTTGGGTCTCGTTATGGCCTTCCTTCACCATGTTCCACTCAATTTTAGAGAGACTATATCCTTGCTTGTTCTAATGAAAACCAACGAAGCTGGTAATACCTTCTTGAAGAACACCACCACTACATTTTTTTGCTCAGTGATGAATGTTTTATATTTGATATCTTCTTTATATACTCTTTTGATAAAAAGTAATGATAGGGAATGCACAGTCTGAGCATCGGACATTGGATATATGCAGTATTTCTTTTGCTTTTCTCAGTGATCTTAAGTCCTTAACTGCAAAATACCTGGATTCATGTTTGAACCTTAAAAATGATGAAGATAAATTGAAGAGCAAAATCTTGGGGAAATTTAGTCTAAAAAGAAGGAACTAAGCAGGAAGCTGAAACAACTCAGTATGTAAAACAAGCTAGAAAAGAGAGGCAAACGGAAAGATGCTTTCTGTGTCTACTCTGGATAGTACAAGGAGCAAAGAATCTAAGTTGTAGGGAATGGATATGAAGGTTAGATTTTAGGGAAAACTGTCGTAACAACAAGGCCAGTGAAGCGCCGGAATAGACTGCCTTATGGGGGCTGGAGAATCTCTATCATTGGAGGATTTTAAGAACAGGGAAAGTACCCATCAGGAAGGGTTTACATACAGATGATCTTGCACAAGGTGCTGGACCAAGTAACGGCAACATTTCAGAACACGTATAAGCGCAATCAAATGAAGCAAGAGGCTGGACTGAACTCCTCAATGTTGTTTTGTGGAAGTCATGAAGCTATGAATTTTACACAGGGCCTCTATCTCTGTACAAGAAACCAGCATATATTGAAGCACTGCTGATGAATGAAAACCAACTACACAGCTTTGTGCATCTCTTGCTCTGGGTCACATACTGAGTCAAAATGTTGTTTATTTTTAACCTTCTATGACAAGGAAACAAGTTGCATTCCTTAATTTTTGCTTCACCAAAAACTTACACGAAATCACAAGCTGAATAAACACTTTACCTTCTAAAACAATTAATTGCTCTTAATTTAACCATGGGTCTGCTGCTGTAAACATTTATGCCTGCAGCCGTATGCAGCAGAATCCCTGCAGCAACACTCACAAGCTGCTGTTCTTTGGAGCAGTGAAAACCCAGCAACAAAAGACTCGTGACTGAAGCGCAGGATCAGATGATCAGTTCATTCAAGATTAGAAACACAGTCAGAATAAAATCCATACAGTTGCCTTCCCCTTCCTCCAGAGGTAGGAAGGAAAAGAAACAATCTGAGTACCTGTAAGGAGGGCATGGTAATGCAGACCCTTCTCTTTTTCCTGGTGAGAGCAGACATCAAATAAATATGCCTTGATGGGGCCATCGATAAAGTCAGCTGCAAAATCAAAAAGCACCACTCCAAGCATGGTAGTGACTATTGCCCACGTCTGCTGCTTGTCTCTCTCAGTGATGAAAGCTACAATAAGAAAAAACAAACTCATTCTGACAACTTTCACCTCCCTTACAAGAATTTTTCTCTACACAACAGTGCCATGTTCTACAAAAATCACATTTTATCTTTCCTGGTACATCCAAATATAAAGACTTCTCAGCTACCTACGGGGGAGCAGTGACACAAGAGCTGGTTCCACCAGCACCAGCTGACATCCAAGAAGCAACACAGCTGAGTTTGTGCAGGGCTGAGCTGCGCTATGTTGACTTACTGCCTTGGGTCAGCACAAGCTCAGGGTACTCCGAGCTCCACAGTCAAGAGCATCCCTAACTTTTCCTTTTCTTTCCGTTACACCTGCATTGCAGGCTCTGGTAGCCTCAATCACATGTTTCATATCACTTTTTAATTTTATGTTGTTTGTCCCATCCTTCCATTATTTTAGATGATCACGAATTGACTATAGCATCTCTTTTTGGGCACACAGATATCAACATATACAACATGGATGATTCCCAGGAACAGAGGATAAATGAATCTATAAATTATAGACACACTCACCCCCCCACCGTCAAGTCACAATGACAACAACTTTCCATCAAGACTTTGAGAAAGTTGCATCTCAAACTGCATCTAGTACAACAGCATCTAGGGATGTCACTCCTATTTGATTTTGCACATTCTTATCACTACACAGTTTGCAGGGAGTTGCTTATTTCTATTATTTACGAACACAGCACGTTCCTGAGTCAAGTCAGTGCTGCAATAATTATAGTTACATATTTTGAATGTTAACACATCTCAAATATGGATTAATACATATTCAGTTTGGACGTGTACTGTATCATACAAGCAACATCTACTGTTAAATTTAATACGACACATTTTAGTTCTTAAAACCCTCTCTGAGTCCAAGCAGTGCTTTACTTTTATGAACTGGTGGGTGATCACATCAACATACAGTATACGGTAACCACATGCACAAATTACGGAACAGTCAGTACATAACAGGCAGTATCAAGACTGAACTGGCATAAAGATTGTACTGTTCCTCAGCTCCTCTGATGCAGCTAAAAAATGCAATACCCATTTTTAACAGGGAAAAATCAGAATCATTCTGATTCAGAAGGCTAGAATGAGTTTTTTTCTGTCAGCACAGCACATGCCCCTCACTCACCTGAGATCATCACGTCCCCATTGAGGTACAAAGCCATGCCTAACAGCATTATGATGCCCAGACCCAGAATGTAAGGTCGCCTCTTGCCCCAGCTAGAGGTGCAGTGATCACTGGCTGAACCTACCACGGGCTGCAGCACGAAGCCCAAGATAGGGCTGATGAGCCACACCAGGCTGTAGAGGTTCTTGGGCAGCCCTACAGTGAGCAGCACCGGCGTGACGAAGGCGGCCTCCACGGCGTAGCAGAACTCCCGGCCAAACATTGCCATGCTGTGCATGACCAGCCTTCCTGTCCCTTGCTTGCTTGGCTCCACTACTCCAGTCCTCACCGCAGACTGCGGCACAGCCTCCTCCTCTTCCCTGGTGTTGTCCGCGTCGGCCTTGGCCACCTCAGAAGGGGGTGGAAGAGCCCCATGGAAACTCTCCTTTGTTAAGGTCATCGCTCTGGCTAAGTCCAGCACGCTGGCCAGCTGGTAGAGAAGTTAGTGCTGCCTGCTCTGGCTGACATGGAGCCCAGATCATATGCCAGGGGAAATCGGTCTGCGCTGGGGGAGGGACTCGCATACTTTCATGGCTCTGCGATCACAAGTTATGAAAGGAAGGGGGCAGGGAAGCATGTGTTAGCATTCGCAGATCTGCCCTCTTGGGCGTCTGCAAGGCTCTCAGCTACCCATGACTAAATAGTGATTGCTGAAATGGGAAACATGCAAATTCAGGGTACGTACACACCAGGTGGGTGAGGCGCAGGAGTAGCTGGACACAAGCTATTCTGCTCGTTTCTCTGAGATAACGATGATGCCCAGAATCTAAAGCCCTCCTCTGTCCGTTCAGCAAACAGCCTGAGCACCAGACAGTGTGCCGATTTCCTGTTAATTAGAAAGGATTAAAAAAAAGCAAAACAAAAAAAAAATCTAGAATCATATATTCAGCAAAAGAGTTCAATGCACTTTATGAAGATAAGTAAGTTAACTTACCTATTGCCCTAGAGTGTTAGTGACAGATAAAAAAGCTTGACAAAAGTCTGTCAAAAGGCAACTGGTGAATATTTATTTCGTGCTGGTTGTGTGCCACCCTCAATGCAACTGATTATTTGCTTCGTTTCTGAAAAAACAAAAGGGTGTCAGGATCACGTCATCTTTTGTAAACAGTCTTACCTGTCACTTTTAAAAAGCAGTATTTTTGGCAAGAAAATTGAAGGCTTTAACAGAAATCTGTAGTGACATACCAAAATCATACCTTTCAGGTCAGCCATTCGAGTAAGGCAGCTAATCCAATCTACGCTGAAGTTAACAGGAGTTTTAAAACCGGCCTCAGTGGTCGTAGGGTCAAAACCCAGAGGCACTGTAGATTACACCTCACCATGTTGATTGTTCTCTGATGCAATCAGATACATCTTGAGACAGAGAAAACTGTCATATTGCATTGGTATGTAACATTCAGTAACTCATTAGAGTAGTTATCAGCTAGAAATACCTTTTGCTAATTATTTATCTAATTTGTTAGGACCCACTAGATAATTCTAGCTCCCATGCAGGTGTTCAGGAGTAACATGTAAAAGGGTTTTTTTTTGTAGTAATAAGGCTGACACTTTGGTGTGACATAAGTCAAATATGTATATCTCAGCTTTGGAAGTTTTTGTAAGTAACTAATATTAAGCAAAGCAAACACTGTGAAATAAGAATTAAGCAAACCCTTTGTAACATAATTCCTGTCATATATGACTAAAGAAAACTGTATTAAGGCCACATAGTTATTGCTTTCTAAAAACATAATTATTTTTGAGTTGAAGGAACAAAGGCAGTTTAAAATAACTTAACTGTAAAGGAAAGGACAACCAGCATGGAATAACCCTTGTTTAAAACTTTTGCAGCTAAGCTTCCTTACCACTCCTCCAAAAAGAGAAGAAAGGATAAATTCTTGGCAGCTATTTTACAACAACAAATTTTACCCTGAAAAATGCAGTCAGGCTCTCAAATAGAACCATCATTAACAACTCTATAGCAGAGCATAAGGAAACAGCATTATTTGGACCACTGTTTTGGCATGACAATGCAAATGAATCAGTATGATAGAGATAAAAAAACCCTTCAAATCTACAAACAACACAGTCACCCATTTATGAAGCATAAAACTGTATTTTATGAAAGGTATTGCCTTCAGGTAATTACAAAATATATTACAATGCAATAGTGCAACTAAGAATTAAAAGAAACAAACATTTCACAGGATATGCTATTTAAAAAAACATTATGAGCATTTACATCTGCTTAGGTAACAGTGTAGCTCTTCAGAACACAATTTCAATAACATTCTAGACTTATTAGGAACACAGTCTGTGTACTCCAGTGCAAGCCAACCAGGTATACAGGTACTTAACTCCCACTGTTTCCAATTACATTTAAAACTTCATTCATTTAAAAGCAATACCATACCAACATTTATTTGTCATGTAATTCAGTTTTAATGCGTTAAAATCTTACTGCATCAGCCTGAAATTCTTCTGATTTGCATAGCTACAGATTATAAATTAGCTTTTGGTTTACTGAATTCTATTACTTTATCAGAATGAAGCTTAGCAATCTCTTGCTTAGTAAATCCATATTCTAGAAGGATCTCTTCTGTGTGTTCTCCTATAAAAGGATCTCTTGCAAAAGATGGAACAGCAGGGGTCCGTGAAAGAACAGGAGCAGGTCTAGGACTTATCTCTTCCTGATCATTTTTGATAAAAGAACGTCTTTGTTTGTTATGCTGATGCGATGCAGCATCATCAAAGGATAAAACAGGGGTCACACAGGCATCAGTGCCATCAAATATGCTGCACCATTCAGTTTGTGTCTTCTGTGCAAATATGGATGCAAACATTTTCTTCATTTTGGGCCAGTCCGAGAAACTCAACTGACTAGGAAGTTTATTTGAATCTAGTCCAAGACCTGAAAAGAAAAAAGTAAAATTTAACAACAGCATAGCTTCGATAAACTAACGGGCTGCCCATAACTAAATAAGTTTCTCAAGAAACTAGTATTTTGCAGGCAGCCATTCTGCACAACATACTAAGAGTCACTTTAAACCTCATTACGATATGATGAAGGAAACGTGGAGAGGCAAGAAGAATGCCATGCTCTGTTATTTGCTCTTAAACTAAACTGCATCAGCTATGGCCTTTTAAGTAAGTATATACAATAAACACTTGTTCGCATAAACATCTTGTAAGAGCAGCAGCTGCCTAGAAAGAACATTTTGCCCTGAGAACATTTTCTGTAATAGGTATTGTATTACCTATCTGGCAGAAGCAACACATTTAGCACCAGCTGCTACAAACATCCGTTGAACAGGTCCAGGGCTACTGCAATATACTTAAGTCACAAAAGCCAGTAAATCTGCCTTACTTGGACATTCAGCAAGCTACAGTATTTGGAGCCCAACGCAATCAGATATTTCCACGCTAGAGAGGATAAGACAGTGTGGACATACTCCGGCTAGATGTGAACAAGGTAGCGTGGCTGCAGCTGCCTGCAGGCTAAGTGCAGTTGCCCAGAGACTGCTTGTCTCACCTCTCAGCATACTGCCTGGCTCAAACCGTCCTCCTGCTCCCCTTTGGGATCACTGAAACTCATAGCCCTTACACTCACTGACCGCTTACGAACTGTGCTTCCCAGATCAGACTTATGGACCAGCAGGTACACAGTACAGCTCTTCTCCACCTCTTACTCTGGAGTCATCTCGCTCCTGTGCGGCCAGTTTCCCAGGTCTGTTTCTGTTCCCTTCTCATGGATTCTGCTCTCTGAACTCCTCCGTTCTCCTACTTTAATTTCTCCTATGTTTGGAAACAGATCTGCTCTTTTACAGTCTTCAGCCTCCTTTGTCAGGGACTACTTTGGCACTCTGTGGATGACCACCACCACGCATGAACATTTGTTCAGTTGCCTACTCAGGGAGCGCAGGCTTGGAAAAATGGGTGTCTTGTAGGTCCCACAACCACTCCAGCCAGCTATCTAGGAGTGGATTACTCTGGACCCTACCACAGGCATCTAGGAGATGCACAAATTGTTAACATTTCTTGTAATATTTACCTCAAAAAGAAGATGAGAGACAAAAAATGGAAAAGGCAATCAAACCTCATGTTCAAAATGGAGGTACTACACACACAGGTGCAGAATCTATAATATCAAATAGAATTCCTAAGTGGTTTAATGAAGGCTGTCCAAACGGTCACAACTGTAGCAGCTTGAAAGAAGCAGGAAGAAAAAACAGAAAAAGCAGGGATGGGAAACATATACATCTCAGAAACTGAGAAGGGTATGAGAACAACTATCATCAATCATAATGCTTAACAAACCAACCTAAAATGGGAACTTTTGAGGAAAAAAAGAGCTCTGTGCAAAATGCAGAGAAAATGTAGAGCTCTGCAAACACTTAATTTTTAACCTCCTTTCTTGTATCTGTTGCAATGACTGCTATCAGACTGATGGCTGGACTTCCAGTTTTTATAACAGGCTTGGCTACCACATGCCTGTTTGCATGTAGAATTTGCACAAACTCCTCTCATCTTCAGCTGCAGAAAGGCAGAAACAGCTTTCTATATCTTTTGCTATTTCCACAGTTTCCTCATCACTGAAAGGGGCAGAAAGATAACTACCAAAACATACAGGGGAGAAGTAAGATAATGAATGCCCTTTCTTCCACTCTTTAAGTTCATTCTTTTTCCTGATAATCTCTACTATAGGTCCTTGGGGCTCAGTCTCTCCCAAATTATAAAGTTACCATAACATTTAATGGGTTTCAGTGTTCCTCGGTGAGACTCTAAATAGTACACTTGAAAATGAATATACTCTTTTAAATCTTACTTTGGTATTGCGAAGAAAAATATCACATAGGCTCAAATACAGTCTTCAAATACAGACTCAAATACAGCCAGGCAATAGTTCATATTTAGAAGAAAATCAACACAGCCAAAGGCAGAATAAACAGTTTCACATTTTATTAGAGGTTCCTAAGGATATCAAATTACGTACCACTAAAAGGTAAGCGTTATTCCTTACTTAGTTACCAAGTAACAGGTACCTTAAATCTCTAAGCTTAAAATCTGCTCTTCATAGCGATTCATACCATCCTAAGTAAAGATTAATTGAAGATTACTCATATTGGTTCAGCATCCGTAATTAAATTGAAGCCACTGATACTCACAGAATGAATTTGATTAAACTTCACTCAAAGTATGTTATTAAAGATGAATAGTGCTAGACAGTCTACTTAAAAACTAGGAGATGAGACAAATTTACATTTTACAACAAGTAAAGCTAAGTAATAACATACTATCTGTAATTCTGTCTCAATGCACAAAATCTCACCACCTGGAAACACTTGTCTGATAAGCATTGATTTGCTTATTAATTGCGCTTTGGCTTCTAGGAGGCAGACTATCATGAATATAACTCTATCATTATCCCATTACACAATTATAGTTGAAGATCATGCCAGATGGAAAGCTGGCTACATGCTCTAGTAAAATAGAACGATATGCGGAATTTAATATTACGTGCTCTTTTTCCACTGACCACTGAAGACTTCAACTTTTAAATAGTATGAACTCACAGCATTTAAGCACTGAAGCTTCTCATTTTCTACCTTGTGCTAAACATTTGTGGTGCAGACAAACAGAATCACAGCAGGAGCAACTGAGTCAACAGGGAAACAATTACACAGCACAGAATTGCTCAGCAGACCACAGAATGACATATTTCACCAATATAATCAAAAGTAAAATATCTTTTACATAGAGTATCTGGTACAGCAATCAAGACCTGTTTCCAAGTTTTTCTTGTTCAAATTTTAATCTAGGGATTTTTCTTTAGAAAAGGCCAACAATTTACCCCACTACAGCTTTGAAATAGTGTTTTTTGAGGAAAAAAAAAAAAAAGAAGTCTCCCTTGTTGCATTAATAAATCAATTGCAGATATCTCTCTCAATATAGCTATAGCATACAAATAACAAATCTCTATTCCTGTAGAACTACTTAGATGAACTGCAGTGCAATTAGGCACCTATTTCAAGAGAGAAGACAGTAAAATTCAAAAGATAAATCAGCAATGTTGATTTGATAAAACAGAAATCAGCAGTTTCGATGCGTTTCAGCTACAATATTTTAACAGGATATTTAGGACCCCTAGAGGGATTTTGTTTGGGTCTACCCTGATGATTTTCTTTTGAAAGCTATATGCTCATAGCACAGTAGTTTTTAAATTATGTTGCCATGACATGACAACAGAATCATCTAACTATGGGTTTCCTTAATTTTGGCCCAAATCACAGCCATAAAAATGTATCCCATTGCTCTACATAAATACAATTCGTTCTCACAGGGAATTAAATTTTAGAATACTCCCAAACAGCAGTGAATTTTCATTAAAGCAACTATGTATTGTTTTTCCTCCCCACCCACAGTTTCTGGAAAAAAAAAAATATATATATATATATTTTAAAAGTGATGGTTCATCAAAAGGGTGATTAGAACCAGACTGCTTACAGCGCAGCACTACAAATGCATCCATAGCTATACTTTAAGTTTGCATAGTAATTACCACAACTGTAAATGTTTCAGTGCAGCAAGAACCTGGGACTCTGGACTTTTAGTACAAAGTTTGAGGCCTACCGTGATAAATAAATTCAAATAAAATTATGTGCAACTGAGGATCTCTAATGAGGAAACCATTCTTCTACCTTATGCATTTCCTAATAAAAAAGTTATATATTATACAGTATACTAATATATTTTAAATAAAATACACGATATTTCATAATCACAAATTGACAGCCATGTGGAAATCCTTCACAATGATGTAAACTATGTTTTTTCAAGAACTTTCTAAATCTTTTTTCCTTCTTTTTAAATAGAAATCATACTATGTTGTAAAAGGAGTATCAAATTTATGTTCAGAGCTTTAGTGACTGTTTCTGCTTTTCATATCAGCGTAAGTTTATATTAAGTTCATCTTACGTAACCGAGTTTACACCACATGATGATGCAGAATCACACCTTTACCTTCTCCCCGACATGTGAAATTACCAACTTCTGCATGTTTCTTTTAGCCTGGCCACGGAATAACTAAGCAATTATTACTAAAAATCAAGAGAAACTTGCAGAAGCAGCACCAGTTAGAAGACATTCTGTCTCTTTTATCAAAATACTGAGACTTAGCCTCAGTAACATATTTCTTTCATCAGATTTCTTGTAAGATGTAAGGTTTTTCATTGTTTGTTGGCTGACTTTACTAGTAACAAAATTAATGTAAGCAAGAGCATTACAGCATGTTTGTGAACAGCAAATAGTCAATAACGAGCCCAGAGTATAATTCCCAATATTTGAGCTGTTAGGGCAATTTACCTTATCTATTTTATAAAGCTTCAGTTTCTCTCATAATTAAGGTCTTAAAAACTCGTGAATTTGTGGTAAGCAGAAATTTCATTCCACCTGGCGAGCACAATCACAGAATCACAGAATGGTTGAGGTTGGAAGGGACCTCTGGAGATCATCTAGTCCAACCTCCCTGCTCAAGCAGGGTCTCCTAGAGCATATTGCCCAGGATCACATCCAGACGGGTTCTGAAGATCTCCAGCGAAGGAGACTCCACTACCTCTCTGGGCAACCTCTTCCAATGCTCTGTCACCCTCACAGTGAAGAAGTTTTTTCTCAGGTTCAGGGGGAACTTCCTGTGCTTCAGTTTCTGCCCATTGCCTCTTGTCCTGTTGCTGGGCACCACGGAGAAGAGTCTGGCCCCATCCTCTTGACACTCCCCCTTCAGATACTTGTACACATTTATGAGATCGCCTCTCAATCTTCTCTTCCCCAGGCTGAACAGGCCCAGCTCTTGCAGCCTTTCTTCCTAGGAGAGGTGCTCCAGCCCTCTAATCATCTTTGTAGCCCTCCGCTGGACTCCCTCTAGGAGTGCCATGTCTCTCTTGTCCTGGGGAGCCCAGAACTGGACACAGTACTCCAGGTGAGGCCTCCCCAGGGCTGAGTAGAGGGGGCAGGATCACCTCCCTCCACCTGCTGGCAACACTCTGCCTAATGCACCCCAGGAGACCATGGGCCTTCTTGGCCACAAGGGCACACTGCTGGCTCATGTTTAACTTGTTGTCCACCAGCACTCCCAGGTCCTTCTCTGCAGAGCTACTTTCCAGCAGGTCAACCCCCAGCCTGTCCTGGTGCATGGGATTATTCCTGCCTAGGTGCAGGACCTTGCACCTGCCTTTGTGGAACTTCATGAGGTTCCTCTCCACCCAGCTCTCCAGCCTGTCCAGGTCCCTCTGAATGGCAGCACAGCCTTCTGGTGTGTTAGCCTCTCCCCCCAGATCCATAAAGCCAACAATTTTCTCAAAATTAAGATGCAGTATTTTCTTAAACTTAACACTTTTTGTTCTGTAATCCCCTTAAGAACTTTTCTCTCTATTTTATTACTTGCACTCTCACCTAGCACTGGGTTCCTAATTCTACAGGGAAACACTGAAGTGAAGCAAAAGCAAAAGGAAATTAGTTTCACGCCTGCTAATCAGAGTTTTGTGCGCCGCTTACAACTGTTTCAGAAATCATGTTCCTTTTTCACATCTGCAGTCTTTAAATCTCTGTCCATTACTTCTGTAACACCCACAGCCTTGTATTCTCATTATACAGGAGTGGCAGAAGTAATACATTCTCTGAATATGAACAGCTGGACATAAAGTAAATTCTGAATATATTTTATCTGGAACAGCACCAAGTTGTTCACTAACAGAATTGACCAGAAGTACGGAAAAAAAGTATGAAATAAAATAATGGAAATTGTAACTGGAACACAGCATTTTTAAAACTACTTCAAAGCAGGGAATTAATGCCTTGAACAGACCACTCAGTCTAAGTCAAAGTTTCTCGGGTTTGTGGAAGAGCAATACAGTTCTCACAAGCAGCTTTTTTTCCCCCCTATAACATTCAAAGGCTTAAATTCTGAACTGGATTTCTGCAATGGATATCCCTGAAAGGGAAAAGATCTCTTAGGTACAAGAAGAATCAGCTGTTCTAGTTCAGTACGCTGCTGCTTCAGAAGCTTACCACCAGAACTACTGAAGGGGATAATTATTTCCTGTGTGAAAATCTGAACAATTCACAATGTGCACTTAAAATACAGTGAAGAAAGACCATTCATTTCATATGTAGCGTTGTGAAAAAAAATCTTGAGTTTATAGTCAGAAGCCTTCAATAACATTACTTTACAAAATAAAGAAAAATTATCGACTGGGAACAAAAATTGTGATACAATTAAAGGTAAAAAGCAGTTTTTACTTAGAAGACTGTAGTCTGTATGTTGAATTTTTGAAACACGACTGAAGCTGACAGACACACAGCCACAACTGTGATTACACTTGTCTTTCTACATACATGCAAATACACTGGTCTTTTACCGTGTGAAAAAACATTTCTGAAACTTCAGCTGTTAAAAATCAAGCCATTTCTGAGTGCTTTAAGCGTAGGAAATATTTTCAAACATGAAAGTAACGTTGCCAAGTGTGGGCACCCCAGTACAGCTTGATGGATTCATAGTTGCCGTTCTGATTTTATGCTCTAAATTTATGAGACCACCAAGAAGGAAACAGAATTTCAACATTTTCCTCAGTAAAGAGATACTTACATGAGACAGAGACCAGTGATTGTATTATTTTGTCTGAATACTGGATTCAACCATCTTATGGTATCCTCCTAGACAGATTGGCTGGCTGACTGGAAAAGTCCTGAGTCTTTGCACTGTGGCCCTGCAACAGTGATCAATACAGGAAGGCTGGGGCATCTAGGAAAGGTTCGCTGAGAAAGAAGGGCAAAAAGCCTGAGCCCAGACTCCATTACGGAAGGTGTTTTCTTCCTGAATAAATATAGATTCTACCCCACTCTTGTAGCTTAAAAGCAAGTGCTATTCAGCTTAATCTCCAGAGAAGCATACAGTACTGCAGCCATGAACTTTAGGCCAAATATATGAGTATTTAATAAGTAGATTTATTCTTTTTTTTTTCCCTTTGTATTTAATAAGGGCATTCTGCCTGAAGAAGTGGTACTGGAATTCCAAATTCCCTAACTTTCAGAGCAAAAGTTTACATTTTACTTTGAAACAGTTTTATATTCAATTATTTTGTTCTCCAGCTCTATTTACTGCAAGTAAAAAACCCCAGGGGATTAGATGAGAATAAAATTTCAAAGAATCAGGACTGTGGAAAAAACAACTACACTCTCTTTTTAAAGGAGTACCTCAGATCTGGAGCCTAACAGGCAAGGTATTCCCAGGACAATGAGAAAGAGGAGCGCTAGCTTCATCAGCCAAAAACACGCTTCTCCCAAACTTGGCATCTGATCTGGGTGCAGAAAATCATGCTGGACATGTCATGGATCAGTCCATAAGGCTGCTTTGTGCATTTCATGTATCAGTATATACCTGTTTGGATATTCTCTGCAATTGCGAAAGTTCTCTGCAATAAATTTTCTGCAATAAATAGCCCTTTGTGGCCATTTATAGAAGCAGCCATTTGCAGCCACAAATGTTCAAGGACTTGCTTTGTGAGCACGTAGCCTGCAAGAGAGCAATGTCAAAAGGAACAGATGATGTTCTCCCTCTTTAGGCCTGTGCCCACCAAAGGCACACCCCACACTGACTGTGCTCCTGAATTTCAAAAACTCCTGGAAGTGCAAGCCCTGGCACTGACTACGCTCTTCTTAGCGCAGTGGGGCTCATGGGGGCTGAGCTGACTGACGGTACCAGCCTGTGTACTGTTCCACCTGTAGGGTGGAAGGCATCCACCCTAAAATTCAAGTAACAATCTGTGGGGAAGATGCTGAGCAGGAGTCAAGGGCTGCTTCACTGCCACCTTCGCCCAGCCAAGAGTTACCACATTTAAGTCGTCCACGTCTCAAAGTGGTCATGTGACACAATCTAGGAACATCCACTGTAGGCTTTTCCTATGTGGATGCTCTTCCTGCTCATTAAGAAGAACTAACATTAGATTAAAGGGGATTTCTTACATCGTTCACAGAAAATAAATACCAGGTTCTTTGTGGATTTTTAAAACTTTCATAAATTAAGTATGGAAAACACAGCAATCTATCAGAGGGGCATAACAGAGGAGATCTATTTTTAAATGAAGTAACCAGTAAGAAGCTAAAAGCACACCTGATCTAAAGCTGAAACTACATAACTGGTCAAAGGTAAAGGGGCACCTGCAAATTTAAGTGTTAACCTTACAAAATAATGACTTGGCATGACTCAGTCTAATTTTTCAAGACCTATAAATCATACTACATAAACACATGTTAAAACTCTTCAGTCAAATATAAAAGCCAGATCCATAGTTGTACTCTCAAAGCATTCTGAAGTTCTATGGTGAAAATTAATTTATAAAACTCACGTTTTATAAAAGGTCACCTTTATCAAAAAATATTATGGGATATTTCCAATGAAGATTCATTTCTGAAATAATATAGAGTTTATTTAAAATCTGTATATTAAAAATATCTGAAACTGCAAGAGATTTTGCTCTATCAGTCTTTTTTAAAGCAGATTCACATTCCTTTGAAAAAAGTCATTTCCAAAATAGTTATACAGTGCTTCAGCCACATCACTGACTAGCAATACCGTGACTTTAGAAGAAAAGCGATGAAAAAGAAAGAAATCAAATGCTAGAAGAAGGAAGTCAACTAAAAAGCTACAATACTATCCAACTGGTTTCAAAACGGTTTGGTTTTCATAAAGATATAAACATACCGAGTGTCATGAATCAAATTTTAGTTATAAAGAATTTATTCAATCCATGCTTTGCGGATGTGAAACAACTGCTCCAAGCTACTTACCCTTTATTAACTGCTCATAGAATTGAGGCTCAATGGCACCAACGGCCATGTATTTTCCATCGGAGGTCTTGTAGGTTTCATAAAAAGGAGCACCGCTATCTAGTAAGTTCTCACCTCGGGGTCTGTTCCAAAGTCCTATATTTTGTGATTTCCACAGAAAAGAACTTAGGTAGGCCACTCCTTCTACCTTCAAGATACATAAAAAAAACCCAACAGCTTCAGTAAATTAGCTGACACGTTACCTTAATTTGACATGAAACAAGACTGCAAAAACTTATTAGCAAGTCTGGCCTGTGTTAAGATTTTTAACCACAAAATTTCTGTTCAGCAGTTTAATTTCTTATACTTGTGAAGTACAGGATATGTGAAATTTTCTACTACTAAATAACAAGGAGCATAAATGTAATAATACAGCTTCAGTTTCCTAGTTCAGCAACTTTATAATTGCTAGTTGATAGAGTTCACATTTTGGGTGATGGGACAAGCTTCCTTGCTCTCTAGAACACCGAGTAGCTGTTAGCTTTCAAACTTTCTACCTGTAGAAAACAGGATGCCTGTATTAGTCTTGTAATTATAGATCAATAGTAAGTTGTCTTGAACTTACCTGACTATAATAAGACTGCTATTTTTAGAAGCAGAAAACTGGAAAGCAAAAGTTAAAGCTCTTTCATACTGTGGGCATGGGGAAGTTCATCTGGAACACTAAGTTAGAACAAAAAATTATTCTCCCACTCTGCTCAATTTTTGAAGTAGAAATACCTATTAGTTTCTACCTTTTAAACAACGAATTTAAAAAGATGTAAATCTCAAGTATGCAGAGTCATGAAGGTTTCTTGATTTAAAGTAAATTGTTTGTCTTCTTCCCCCGAAATTCTTGTCACAAGGACAGAAATACTTTTGCCCTACTTGTCATATGGTAAAGTCAGTTAAAGTACTTTCATGTGAGAGAATACTGCATTTTGCATGCTTGGAAAATGACTGCAAGACTATCAAATTACTGTTTGCTTTACTAATGATTTTATCATGCACTGCTCACATCAGCAAAGAATTACATGAAAGACACTGGAAGTAAAGATAATAATAGGTAGGGATAATATTCAGAACAAGCTCTAACTGCAAATTAGGTTTTGGTGTCTAAATTTGACAGAACTATTCAGAACACCTACCTACACCGCTACCTTGGAGACAATGACAATAAAATAGCATCTCACCTTGCCTGATTTCAGAAGTAGCCCAGGCTCGGCAACTGGACAGCAACTGCGTGCCTAAGCCACTTCAGAATTCAGAGGTAAGTAAAAAGCTCTGCCCGAAATGCAAAAGGCAGGCACACCACTATGATCACTTTCCTCTTTAGCCCAACTGCACAATGATTACAGCAACTCTAGCTATGCATTTCACTTAAGAACTCCCTAGTGCTAAAAGCACCAGGAGCCTCTGAGGCAGGAACTAGCAACCCAAGGTATCAAACTGCTGGGTGACCTCTGCCCACGCCGCAACTCTTTTCCTGCGGCAGAGTGAAACAGTGCAGACAAAACAACTGAGAACGAACCAACCCCAATTTAACCTCTAGCCTCATGACTGAGGAGCTGTTCTAGGATGTGGGAGCTTTGGTTTTTTAATACCTCCAGGCTGAGAAAAACCTGGATTTCCAGTCTACAGTGAAATGCTCTTGCCATGAGGCTATTATACAAGAAGTGATTATCACCACCATCATCTTCTGTGGCTCTTTTCACAAGGAGTGAGTCATGCTTGGTCAGATGCCTACTATCAGCAGAAGGCTTAGTGTTTTAATTCTGAGTGAACCTAAGGAGCGGTCTTAACTCACGTGCCCGCGTTCCTGCGTGGTGTGGGAGCAGAGACGCACCACTGCGCCGACTGTATCGTACCACAGTTTTCAGCCAGCACTCTACTCAGTGTGCAGGTGCAATCAGATGCATACATTTCCAGAGGGTCAATGAGAAGAGACACCAACTAATGTGAATTGGTTCAGACCAGAAGTTTAATTCTTCTGAGCTAAAGCGCAGGACCTACCATCTACTTTTCACACAGCGTGGCAACTACACTGCACAAATGTGAGAAGATGATGCAAATCTAGCCCTTGGCCTGATCATGTCTCTACCTTTTTTTTGTATTAGTTTAGCTTCGCTAACTAGAGGAGCTCCTCACATGTACGTTACAATAAAAAAAAAAAGGGGGGGGGGGGCGGAAAAAAAACCCATAAAAAAAAACTTATTACAAGTAATACTTGGGGACAAAAGGGAGCTAAAAAGAAGTCTCCGTTCCCTCTTTGACCATGGAAAACTCCCCCATATGTCCTTAGTGTATTCAGACTACCTAAACTGTACAGTAATATAGGTAATATGCTTAATAAATAAACCTTTAAAATGAAATGACAGCTCAAATATTTTAATGCTGCATTACTGTATCAAATGTTCCGGTCACACCGGACAAGCATTTCAGAAGATGCCTAGCATATCAGTAGGGAAAAACAAATTCCACAATTGATAATGAGACAAGAAAGAAAAATTGGGAGAGAGAGAAGTTTTCAGGGCTTTTTTAGAAAAATTGTCACATTCCTTACCCAAATAGCCAGAGATCTCATTAGGATATTAAGCGGACTTGCACTCCTTCTTCTTGTAACAAATTCTTGCAATGACTTAAAGCACAGGTAGAGAAGATAAGGAAATACTCCCAACTATTAGCCTTTTACATATTTGAAGACTTATCATATCTCTTCACAGCTTCCACTTCACAAATATGCAAACTCCTTCAATCTTCCCTTGTAGGTGGTGTTTTTTAGACCCACAGTCATTTGTGCTGTGTTCCTTGGGCCAGACAGTATTTTCCTGAGGCCTTATAAATGCTGAATAGATTAACTATTAGAAGAATTACTTCAGATATCTTGCTGGCTATATTTCCTGTTTATACATCCTAGTACAGTGTCTGTGTGTTTTACAACAGCATGATACTGTGGTGTTGTTGACTCATGTTCAGCTTGTGACTACTATAAACCCCCATGATTCCACTTTAGTCAATTGTTCTCATACTGTATTTGTGCAGCCAATTGTTTCTGTCTAAGAGGACTACTGAGCAGTGGTCTCCATGGATTTTCCATTTTTCTCCAATTTATAAAGGCCATTTTCAATTTTAATCTTGTCATCTAACATGCCTGTCATTATTCCCAGATTCACATCATTGCATTAGATGTATTTAATTAAATAGATTAATAAACGTTACATAGATAACACACTGGTCATTTGGCTGTACGGGAACAATATTTCATACAAAAAACACCTGAATGAAATAATGTTACATTAACACTTAGTGCATACTTTGAACCTCCCACATAAGAATTCAATAGGCATTGTGAGCAGGAGTTAAATCTCAAAAGAACCTCAGTAGATTTTTCTTCTTTGAATCTTTAAAGGTAAAAAAAAAACAGATCTAGAGCCTTAGTAAGTTTACTAAACATATCCTCTAGTCCATCATTCAGGGTATCAGTGAAAAAACTGAAAGAAAAAGACACCCTATGAAACTCTACTTAATAATTTTTTCCATTTTGATAATTGACCACTAATAACTATCATCTGGGTAAAAAGATTAGACCAGATTTCACCTAGACCCATGCAGGTTTCACCTAGACCATAATTCCATGAGCTACTTTTGAGAATGTCCTGCAAATCTGTCAAAAACCTACTGAAGTCAAGACAGCTAATGTCTGTTGCTATTTCCCTAGTTCAAGACCTCTTATGATGAAGGGTTCTTTTTTTAAATTTATATTTAGAGTCCAAATGATAGCCTTCATTGTATTGCTGTATCTCTAGAGAGGTCAAATTTTAATTGCAATGTCCTTTCAAAAATAAAAATAAAAACTAAGAGAGAGTACAAGAGCAAACATAATTGTAGATAACTCTATCAATGGGTTTTAAAGATAAATGCAAATAGATATTTTTCCTCTATATACAAGTGAGTGGCCTTGCAGTGAAAAATTCCATAGCATTCATTATTAAACTACTACAAATTTGTATGCAGTCTTTCTTTCATTTGTTATACAGTGTATTAATGCAAAGTGTTTGTAGTAGTGACAGTGTAATTTTTTGGAGGGGTTGGGAGGGATGGAACAGTGCTTCTCAGAAGACACGATCTACCATAAGGTTAGAAGCAGATGAGTTTTGGATAGAGCTAATGCAACTTTTTTACTTTATCAGGATCATTGTTTTTGCTATTATGCGTTATGGTCGTTGTCTATAATACATCCTATTTGCATACAACAAACTTACTCATCAAATATATATAGCTAACACTTTCTGAAGAAGGCAGATTGTTAAAAGGAAATGGGGAATGGCTCAGGGAAAGATCTTCAATGTATGTACTATGCCATAAGGAAGTTATGGCAACAGTGACCATCTGTTTGTGGGTACAGGAATAGCCATTTTATGAGATGACTTAGTTTACCTTTCCAAAGTTCCTAATACTAAACCTTAGCAATAGGGCCAACGTTTCCCATGTTATAGACTTTGAGGAGAAGAGAAACAGCAACCCACCCTGCCCATGAGACAAAACTTACCATACTCGCATCAACGATCTGCCCTTTGCCAGATTTGGTACGTTCATATAGGGCTACAATAATACCCATTGCACACATGACACCTCCACCAGCAAAATCAGCCAGAAGGTTTACAGGTGCATAAGGATTTTCACCTTTTCTACCCAGCTTTGACAACACACCTGATAGTAGAGCAAACAAAGTAAACGTAATTATAAAATTAATTATAAACATTAGTTTCTACTTTTCTACAAGTAAAGTATCTTTCTCTATGTGAGCCAATTAGGGAGAAAGCAAACTTCTCCTGACACTGTTTTCTGACTCTGCTCCATCTCTGTTCTCATTCACAAAAGAATGGAATATCCAAAATCATATTAATGAAGATGTATCTAATTCAATAGATTAATAAAGGTCATAGAGATAAAGCACTGATCCTTTGGCTATATAGAAACAATATTTCATATAAAAATACTTGCGCAAAATAACATTATATTAACACTTTGTATATACTTTGAACCTCCCACATAGGAATTCAACAGGCATTATCAGCAAGAGTTAAATCTCAAAAGAACTTCAGTAGATTTTTCTTCTTTAAAAGGTAAAAAAAAAAAAAAAAAGCAGATCTACAGCTTTTTGTGCACATTACCCTTGAATTAACAATCATAAAAAAGGACTTCATACCAACAATCCTACTTCAGTCCTACCCTCCCTCTTTAACTAGCTTTGAAAATAAGGTTGTATATATGAGGAACGGGCGAGTAATATAAAAAGGTTACCTCCTTTTGCATGCAACATAGATGCAGTGAAGCTGTGTCTTTGCCAGAAATCATGCAGAAAAGAAACAGAGAAAAAGGCTAGGCCACTCTCGTTATTTCAGACAGAGCTCTGAATCTGTTAGCGTTTCTTTACCATCCTGAACAGCCTCTTCACTATCACTTCACTCTTTGTAATTCCTTCATAACAATTCTCTTTGGGGAAGCAAGAAGCTCTCCAGTAAGATCATGTCTCACCTATGTCTACAGCCTAAGGTCTGAGACTTGCAGCATACATGGTCAAAATTTCCTGAAAACTGCATGATTCTGGTCCAGTGTTCAGTTAATGGTCTAATGCAATTTTTAAGTGCAAGCAGCTGCATGTACAGTATAAAGAAGTTTGCAGAGCTTGTAATGCATGTAGAAAGCCCTGTCAGTGACTAGAATTTGACTTTTAACAGTCTAATGGTTGTCACAGGTACCAGCAGATTAACATATTGACTTACATCTAGAATTTCTAATGCAAGTCATTTTGAAGCTTCAGAAAGGAAAGCCCATCAGGAAAATACCCAAGATGTGAGGTCACCTCAATTTTGAGTGCCAATACCTCCCAAATACCTCGTCCTATTTCCTTTAAATTGGTAGAAAAACTTGGCTATGTAAAATTTCAAGCAGATTTAATTCTATTTAAGTTAGAGTCCATTTTTTTTAAAACCAGGCTTTTTTTTTTTTTTTGTTACCATGGGATGTCTGGCAAGAGAAACACTACCTGCAAAATAGTTAAGTAGTGCTGTGAAGGCTCTAACTCATTCATTTCTTTACCTGATCCTTTTTCAATCTGGAAATCTCATAGACTTTTATACTTTAAAGGTACTGATACATAATTCACATTTAAAATTTGAAATACCAAAATGTTTGTACTTCTGTCTGTTTGAAACTTCCTTCTTGCAGCAGGCCTTTCTCAATTATGGTAAGATAGCAATAACCAAAACTGTACTGATTAAAAAACTGTAAACAGAAAGGACTATCATCTAAGGTTGCAATGGATGA